CGAGTGTTTTTTCCAAATTGGGGTTGTGTGCAGTTATGTGTGTATATATCCTCTGACCGCGATCTGCGCTGCAACTTTGGCCAGCTAGAAAGCATGTCATCCATCTGCATCCTGCGCTGAGTCGTCCCACCCTCCACTCTGGGCTAAGATGGCACTTGCAGCAGAAGACATGACCTACGAGGATCTCAAGGAGATCGTGGATGGCTACCTATGCCGACCTTGCGCCGCAGTAGTCGCCTTGCAGAGCTGTTCCTGCTAAACCTCCAATGTTGTAAATCTTCTGGCAAGCTTAGTATGTTATACGAAACTTTTAATCTGAACTTTGTCCTTTCATCACTTTGAGGGGCCCTGCTCCTACAGACAATCTGGTAACCTTCTGCAGCTGCCTGAACTTGAGCAGCTTTCAGCTCCTCCCTGATCTCAGTCCACCTCTTTCTGTTGTCCCAACTGGCACCTTTGAGCTCATCTGCAGAGAAGACCAACTTCTTGCTTGAAACTTTAACCCGAAGTGGGACTTGATCACTCATGCCGATTACCAGGCAGGATCGGTTCTCAACTGTCATCTCTGCATCTGCAACCAAAGGTGCATCTTCAAGCTCAGCAACTGGAGCAGCTCCTGGATGCCAGAGCTTTCTGTCAATATCCTGGAAGGTGGGCTGGGCCCGCACCTGTTCTTCAAATGGTGCCAGGTGAGTAGTCTGATCTTTGCTCAAGTAAGCTGCACCTAGCCATTGGATCAGCTTCTCTACATAAGAAGCCGCATACTTTGAGCTCTGCTGGGGCCTTGTCTTTCTCTGCAGGGCACAGTCAGCTTCTTTCAGCCAAGCTTTCCTTTGCATCTCATTTCTGCAAAGCTCTGCCCTGACCATGCATCTCTCTGCCAGAGCAACCAGAAGGGCAAAGAACCCTTTCAGCAGCTCATTCTTTGAAACGTTGTGGCTGCAACTCCTTTCTTTCTTCAACCACTCGCCAAGTTGAGAGATCTCTCTGCTAAACTCTCTTTCTCCCTCCACCAGCTGCTCTGGCAAACCTCTTCTGCAATCTTCTCCTCTTACCTTTGGAAAGGCCCACTGCTGCCCAAACCTTCCTTCTTCAGCAAGCTTTGCCACTCCTCTCCCTCTCTTCTTGAGTACAAATCTTTCAGCCTCTGTGTGCTCATCTTGAACTTTCTCCTTGCAACTGCCTAAGCTTCTGCTTCTGAGGCTGAGACTTCCAGAATCATCTGAATCTCTTCACTAAGCTTCATCTTCTGAAAGGCAAGAAGCTCTTGCTTTTCCTGGAAGGATCTGTCTCCTTCTTCCTTTTGCCCAACTGCCCACCTGCAGTTCCTCTACGCTCTTCCAGAACTGGAGGCCTGCCACCTTGTCTGCCTGCTTCTCTCTGAAACTGCAGTCTTGCTGCAACTTCTTCTGGGTCTTCTTTCTCCAGCTCTGCCAGCTGCCAGCTTCTGAAGGTAAGCCGACTTCACTAGTGCAGCTTCTTTCTGCAGCTTGCTCTGCTGCTGCCTCTGGTATGGAACTACCCTGTTAGCTAGCACAGGCTCTATCTCCTTGGCTTGCTGCTCTGGTGTTCCAAACAACTTCTTTACGCTGAACTGTTTCTTCTCTGAGCTAGCTGGGATGGGGCTGGGCGCAAGCTGGCTGGAAGCTAAGGACTCTGTCGGGCTTGCTGTCACCTGAAGGTGTGTTGCCGGGCTGGCCACACCGTTGGTTTTCTTGTTGTTTGGTGTTTGAAAACCTTCTAAGCTCATGGGCCTCTTCCTTGCAAAGCTGTCCTGTGTTGAAGGTTTTGCTGCAGATTGTCTTATCTTGGCTGCTTCCTGCTGGGCTTGCCAAATAAGTAAGAAACATCGAGAAATCAAAAGAAGGTGTCCAAAATCGGAAAAAAAAAAGAAAAACAAAAAAACATCGAGAAATCGAAAGAAACAATCCAAAATCAAAAAAAACGAGAAATCAACAGATTTTGTCCGAAACCGAAAGAAACCTCGAGAAATCGAGAAAAACACAATCTGGCCAACAGACTGTTTGCACATTGTCCCATATAGCTGTTCCGCGATTTCTCGAGGTTTCTTTCGGTTTTGGAAATATTTCGATCTCTCGATGTTGTTGTTTTTTGTTGGACAGGAGCCTGACATCTGTAGGAGGGGGGAAAGTGGAGAACTGTTTGCATGATACCAGCACATCGTCCCAGAACATGTTTTTCCGATTTCTAATTTTTGGCCAGAATGCAGCAAAATTAGGTGTGCAAAAACCCAACGCTCACAGGGTCCCTTTCTGGAGTGTAAAACTAGCAGGGGGTAGGAAATGATATTCTTAAGCAAACGGAAAACAACTGAGTGTTGGAGCAAGCTCGGAGTAACCGAAAAAGGTGACCTTCACTTCCAGAACAAACAACAAGCGCTCCTGCAAAACGTAGCTTGAGCCGCGGTCAAAATCATTCGTTGACCGTCATTCCATTTCAGCGAGCCAGCTTTCGTTTTCCATGAAAGTCGAATTAAGACATGCAACTTAAGAATCAACTCGCTCTGGTATTGTTGATTGACCGCCAAGCCAATGAAACGTGTTAGGGCTCTTGGAAAAACCTGCATGACGAGATTGACCTTTTCCGTGAAACAAGGCGCCCAAAGCCCAGACCAACCGAAAGCTCCTTGGGAGCCACCAGCACCTGCGGAATCCGCCAGAGCCGCCAAATCAGCGGCCAGAGCGCCGCAACAGCGGCGGCCAGCGGGCCCAGGGCCAGCAGGCACAGCCGCATGGCTGTTAAAGGGAGTTGTTTTTTGTTTACTTGTGTTTTTCTTTCATTCTGTCTTTCATTCTGTCTTTCTTTCTTTCTTTCTTTCTTTTATTTCTTTCTTTCTTTCATTCTGTCTTCCATTCTGTCATTCTTTCTTTCTTTCTTTCTTTCTTTCTTTCTTTCTTTTCTTTCTTTCTTTCTTTCGTTCTTTCTTTCTTTCTTTCTTTCTTTCGTTCTTTCTTTCTTTCTTTCTTTCTTTCTTTCTTTCTTTCTTTCTTTCTTTATTTCTTTCTTTCTTTCTTTCTTTCTTTCTTTCTTTCTTTCTTTCTTTCTGTTCTTCTTTACGTCTTTCGTTTTTTTGGGCGGGTCCCTCTGTTTTGAAGCCAAGAAGAACCAAAGAGATGAACATGCTGGAAATCAAATTTAAACTTGTTTGAAGATTCAGACCCGTTCTTGGTTTAACAAAGAAACCAACAAGAACACCTTAATCGGCTTACATAGGTGGAGGGTCAAAAGGACAAGACGTACAAAACCTTGGATGAGTTTCTTGGATGGACATTGTTGGGTGTTTTTCTTGGAGACAAACCCATTGCCTGGGGCGGGGAATTTGGGCGAGGCTAGGGAGAGGGGAGGTGCACTCTTGAATATGGATTCGGCTTTTTGGCTCCTTTGAGGGCCTTCTAGAGGTGGTGGGGTTGGGTCAAGACTAGGGGGTTTCCTCTGGGGAGTTCCTTTGGAGGAACGATGACTCATCATCAAGACGTGTTGGACATGTCACAAACTTCCCCCGCCTCAATCTTCGCTGGCCACCAATCCACCGGCCGACCTTGTTCTTGTGAGTGTGAGCTGTGCACTACTTGGCCTTCGCTGCTCAGCCCAGATCGAGCGTTCAGCTTCGTCTCCAGAAGTGTCATCACCCCAGGGAGTGTCAGGAGCTTCGTCTCATATGCTTCGAGATGCCATGGACCAGCGTGCGTTGCATCTAGTAATTGCTTGGGCAAGAACAAAAGCCGTTGGGCCAATTGGTGATTTCATTGGGGGAGGGTCCAGTAAAGCGGGATCTCCGTGGTCACAGAGATGGCTGGTGAACGTAGCCCCGGAAAAAGACAAGAACAAACAGTTCCAGCGGCAGTGATGGATCCCCCTTTCACGCAGGGAAATACCTGGACCCTCAAACTACCCATAGCAAAAAGGGAAGTGGCCCCATCATTTTGGGGTTCTAACCGATTTTGTTCAGAGGAGTTTCGAGGGCCCAGGCAAACAATCTAGGTCCTCCAGCAGAGAGGTTAGAATAGGGGTACCCTTTTTTTCTGTAGTGTATTTTAGTAGGGGAATCCCCCAAAAAAGGGTGAAAGGGCACTACTGGGGGACCTAGACAATATTCAATTTGAAGTTTAGAGTTGTGGGTCTGCTTTCGCCATGAGTCACCTTTCGGACATCAGTTCAGCAAGGAACACTGGAAGGGACCACCCTCCTATGGTGAGCAACAGCCAGCTAGCATACCCAATAGAGACCTAAATGGCTTTCCGAACAAAGGGGTTGGCCGGAATTGGGGGGGTCTATGTGCTAACTCGTATGTTCTGTGTTCCCTTTCCGCTTCCTGCTGATGGTTGCGAAATCCATTTCGCACCACGAAATGAAACCATGGTTGAAACCGTAACGTTTGTTGGTATTTACAGGGGAATCGAATCATTCCTTTGGGTTTGTGAATGCTGGTGCGCTGCTCCGCACTGGCTCATGGCACCGAAACCTTGATTGACTTGGCACCAGGAACGACAAACAAATCATGATCAAACCTACTTGCGCCAAACTCCCTGCTCATGAAGCATAGAAATCATTATCATTAAAATCAATGAATTCCCTGAAAAGCTGGGCACTGAAGGAAACAGACGGGAGGCAGAGGGAAATGGAGCCGTGACAAATCTTGAGCACCAGTAAGTTGACTCTTTATTTTTGTTAACTACTATATTATATTATACTATTTTGTATTATCCACGAAAGAACGGACACCCCCTATTGAGCAAAGCGTCAACAAACTCGCGTTGACCCAGGGGGCTTTGATTTATGCGTGTTCCATGCTAATCAGGGGAGTGACACAACTCTCACTTGCCCAAAGGACCCACGCATAGAAGGTTGACCTGTTGGGGGCATGAACAAAAGTGGGCCAAGAAGGGGAATCCAAAAGGTCGTTTCGCATTGGACAAGTGAGGAACCAACAGAAATCTGCTGCTCGTCGCAAATCACCCAGCTGGAGGCATCCAATTTTTGCGTCACGAAGACTCGCTGTCTGGCTCAAAGCGGACCTCAGCTTTGCGGGCTCTTTTTTTGCTCAACTCCGAGGGGGACGTGCCGACGTGCCGTAAATCCCAATCTCTAGAAGTTGGAACCTGGAGTCTCCATGACCCTTTTAAACATGCCGTCATGACCCAAAATAACGGGGTCTTTAGAGGGTCGAGACTCCAGGAAGTTCTACCGGTGGGAGCCGCCGTTCCGCTTAGTCTCCTCTGGGGGAAGCCTCGAATTTTCCCGACACTGAACTGCAGCCGGGCGCTGAAGGCGCACATGGTCTTGGCACTGTTTAGCAAGGCTCCTTTAAAACCACACCCAAACAAGGCTCGCATCAAAAAACAGACATATTGCAAGGCAGGAAACAACGAAACCCTCTGAGTTACACAAAGTCAGTGGTAACCTACTATAAGGGCCACTATGACAAGGGGGTTGGGTAGTTTAAAACCACATCAATAAATGCTCCTGGGAACACCACGCCACACCTACTATGCTCGCACCACTTGGAAACCATGGTTGAAACCCTTGTTTGTTGGTATTCAGATATCTAGCCCCTTCCATCTAACCCTTTTAGGGCCGAAAGAATCAGAATGCTTCGTTGAGGCCTACGTTTAAACCGGTGAAAACCCGGAAGTCTCTCAACACATCCCCCCAAAAATCAAAAGTTGCATGCAGTTGACTGGCGGGCTTCCATTGAAACCATCGCTTTTGGAGGTCCCCAGAAACAGGTGGAACATGAGACAATCCCCCCCCGCTCCCCGGAGGGTGAGGGATCAAAAAACAAACTGTTTGGGCATCAAAAAATAAAATATTCCTGAAGATCAAACAAACGCTTCTTAGGGGTCAAACAAAAATAAGACAATCCCTCCCCCCCAACCCCCCCGGGTGTTCTCGTCCCGATTCGTCGGGAGACAACGGATCGAGCAAACAAAGTTCTCTCAGCTCCTCGCGGGGTTTCGCTGCCTGGGAGGCAGCACGATGGCCTTAATGGCGTCCTGTCGAAAAAAAAAAAAAGAACAAAAAAAACACATTGGCTGTGGCTCAAAAAACCGCTAGCGACATGGAACCCTGGTACGTAGAAACATGGACCACAACCTGTGTAACCCCTCCGATCGCTTAATTTTGAGCCACACCCAATTCGACACGAGCAGCAACTCCTTGGGGGTCCTCTCGCACCAGAAAGATAATCAAATTTGGATGAACGCCTTCCCTGGAGTCTCCATGACCATTGTAAAATGGTTGGTTGTTACCCAAAATGGGCTCATGACCCCATTTTCTAGTGGTGATGGAGTCTGGAAGAACTGAATGCCCGCTAAAGAGTGACATCTTGATAAGTGGGGGGTTGACGACCGTCGTAAGGGGCATCCCGAAAATCACGCCCTGCCCTAAGGGTCCGATTCAATTGGATTTTCGGGCCTCAACTTGTTGCTTTTTTCTCCGAGGGCCCATGAGGAACTTGTCAGCTGCGAATGACTTGAAATGACACCGAGATGTTCGAATATGGTTTCCTTTGCTGGACTTCCGGTTCGTTCCCCAAACCCTGAACAGGGTTGATCCTGACATGAAAAGCACCTGAACATTGCAACTTGTAAATTCTGGTTTCAACCTTTATTTTGGTGGAAAAATCCATGTTTCAAATGGTTGCAAAATGTATCTTTTAAGGAGCCCTGCTGAAGGTCATTCCCTAATTACTGAGCACCAGCAAGATTTGATCAGGGGCTGTCTCCTTCTAGTGGAATGCTTGGTGGACGTGGAATCCCCGAGACTGGTGGCGTCTATTTTTCAGGGTACCCCTTTTTAGGGAAGCTCAAAGGAAACCGAAGCCACTGAAGGCCCCGGGTCCCCAATTAAAAATCCTTCATGCTGATCCCGGATTGGTAAACCCGCGCTAGGGGGGTCTTAAACTCATGGCCAATATGGGTGTCATGTTGGCCTCCTTTTGAATTGACCGACCGATTTCGGGGTTTCCGTCAAAGACACCCGCAAATACTGGACCATGTCTTCTGAACATGGAAGAAATCAAACATTTGTCTGAAAAGGAGACTCCAGTTGGATTCGAATCCAAGCCGCCTGCAAACAAGCAGAGTTCAGAACCAACTCGGTATCTCTCTTCACACCCACATCCAGGTTTCACCAAACGGGCAAATGTCCCCCCCTCTTTGTGCTGGACCAGAAAAAGGGCACGTGGAATCCACTGAAGACACCCTACCTCCAAGCTCCAAGGGGGATGACCTTTGACCCGTACAACTTGGCGTTTGGATGACCCGTTTTGGTTCGAAGAAAGTACCTCCCTTCGTATACACACCTTGTCCTTAGCCAGAACCTCTCTGGAATCCGTGGGAAAAGTGGTTCCCCTGATTCATGACTTCCATTTGTGCAAACGTCCTCTGGAAAAAGTGAGAAACTATGTCCAGTGGTAAAATCGATTCCTTTGAAAACCAACCAGGGAAGAAAAAAAGAAAACACATCCTTACTTCAGCCGATGGAAAAGATGAGGCTCTCCCAAAACCCGCAGGGGACAACATACAAACAACCATATCATAATATCCTTACTTCAGCAAATGGAAAGTAGGAGGCTCTCCCAAAAGACAAAACCAAACAAAAATCAAACCGTCCAGCCCTACGCCGGGTCTCGAACGCCTTTTTGTCTCGAACGGGTCTCCGTCCTGGCTGGTGAGGTGCAGCCCTTCGAAGGTGTCCTCGTCCTCCAGCTCCGCGCCGTCCAGCACGAAGCGCACTTGCGACCGGTCCACCTGGGCCCAAAAAAAACACCGGGGGATCTCCAGACGAGAATGTCGGGGTCCAGACTCTGAGGGCTTGCTCTGAGGGCTTTTTGTCCATTCTTTTCACCCATTACCAGAAATGGTTCTCATTTAAGGTTCAACATCCGAGAATCTGTGGAAGCACATTCTAGTCGATCCCATGTCCATCCGATTCAGCTTTACCCGCCGTGCAAAAGAAGGTCGGGTGTTGTTTGGCGATTGTGGGCAATCACTGCTAGGTCCTCCAACAGTAGAAAGCTTGGAATAAGGGTACCCGATTTTTGCTCTGTCTATTTTAGTAGGGAAACCATTCTTTTCATGTAGTCTATTTTAGTAGGGGAACCCCAAAAAAGGGGAGAGAAAGGGCACTACTGGGGGACCTAGCCACGGTAAACGGAAAAAAAGGAAAAAAACTGACACCGAACGAGCAGGCGCAAATGGACGGGTCAGGAAGGCCAAGCCCGAAAAGCCAAAACCAGAGTGCCCAGCCCCATGGACTGTTGGTCAGGGGAGAGGTTTACTCTTTGCTCAGCTTTTCCTTTTTACAACACACAAAAAAAAACAGGCTAACTTTGATCTTTGAAGCTGACACCGGTTGAGTGGTCGACGCAACTTGCGCGATGGCGTGCATGGAACCTTAACGCCGGGATGGAAACTCAAGCCTCTGGAAACGGATTGGGTGGAGTCTGCACCAAAACGGATTGGCACGGGGAGTTTCCTGTGTTGCTTGTTTGTGATTGTTTTTTTTGTTGTTCATTGTGTTTGTTTTGTTTTTTGTAGATGTTGTTGATTGTTTTTCTTCTTTTTGAAGTTGCTGATCGAGCGCCATCTTGGGACGGGGCGTGTCCTTTCTTTGAGGCCACCCTTTTTGGCGTTCGTTTTAAATGAAAGCTAAGAAACCAACCATTGTTAGGTCCTTCCAAACCCCAAATGCACATAGAATCACATGCCTGAACTGCTCAAGCCGAAGGACTCTGTGCTCCATTTTTGGTCATATGGCCTGGACCTTTTTCCGAGTCGAAAGGCATCCTTGGTTTGGTGATTTTACATCTTAAAGGGAAGCGAAAACTACCATCTAAATATGTATATATATATATATATATTAGTTTTTTTTTTTGGGGGGGGGGTCCGATTCCTAAAAAATGGCAGACCCAAGTTTCAACCATCCCAGACTCCAGATGCACTGACTTTCACCGTGGCCTGGATCTTCCGACAATAGATGTCGAACAGCAGGTCCAGCTGCGCGTGCGAGGCGTACTTGATTCGCACGTCGGGCCTCGGATTTTGATATGTTCGCAGGTCCCCTGGCTGTGCTGTCCTCAGATCCCCGCTAAAAGTTGAAAAAAAATAGTGAGTTCAATAGACATCCCCACTAAACACCAAAATGCTAAAAACCTAAGGGCACGGCTGGGAACCACCAAGTTGCTTTGCAGAAAGTGGATGGTTGCGAATTCCATCCCTTTCGCGCCACGGTTCAACAAATTGTTGGCAATTCGCCTTTTTGGCCCCTTTTTGTTGGTCGAGTTTAACACCCTTGCCCAAAAAAAGGAAAAACACGGCACCACTGGACAACAGAGTCTCCTCCGACCTCCGACCTCCGACCTCGTCCACACAAAAAAGTTCGAGCGGCGCATTGTCCCGCTTCACCGTGACGAAGACGGAGGGCCCCGCCCAGCTGGGGACGCTGGGCTCGTAGATGCGCTGCAGCACCCGATCCGCCAGCGCGTCACAGTCCAGGATGCGCCTCGTTTTTCTTTGCCGCGAAACGCGCGCGCTTTGACGAGCGCAAGCGGGGAGGGAACAGCCAATGGATGGGTTACCTCCATTTGTTTAAGTCCCCTGGAAAAAATGAAAATATGTCCAGTGGTGATAGATTCCCTTTAAAATCAACAGGGGAAAATCAAAAGTAGTGTTAACCAAATGGAAGGTTATGTTTTGTTTTTACCGAATGGGAAAATTAGTTTATCAAAGGCTGAATCTATGAGTCCATACATGAACCCATGCAGCATCATTTGTCTTTCATGTTGTATGTCCATTGTTGTTATCCAATTCATATGCTTCATCTACATTTTCTATCTGCTAACAATTCTACCAGGAATTCCACTAAAAAAAAAACGGCAAATTATGCTTTGCGTGTTGAGCCGGTCGTGTCGGTGGATTTGTTTTTTTCTTTTGAGGTTCGGTACCCCGTTGTTGTTTGAATGAAAAGCGAATCAAACGAAAACCAAACATTTGTGGTCCGATTCGTAACAACACACCCATCTATGGATTGCTGGTGCATGCTGGTGTCATGGGCCTACGAGACGTTGACAAATCGGGCCTATAGGGTTTTCGGAGCCCCACACTTGCAAAGCTCGGAGCCTTCTCTTGGAAAAAAAAGCCGAAACAAACAAACATATGTCATGGTTACCCAAAAGAACCATGGGGAATAATAAAGGAATGCAATTGTTGTACGGTAAGTGAGCAAGTGTCATGACCCTTTGGTGGGAATTCAGGTGGAATCAGGTGGCAGTCCCAAAAAATGTTCAGGCCAAGTCTGGATTGGTTGATCCCTAGTCTGAGGGACAAGCCCTCAAACAGCGGTATGCTCAAGGGGGACCGAAGGACCACCACTCATGTCGGGGTCCAAATTCGGAGGGCTTGCTTTTTGTTCATTCTTTTCACTCATTGCCATCGCCATACATGGTTATTATTTGAGCTTCAACATCCAAGAATGTGTGGAAGCACTGAGGTCGATCCCATTGCCATGTGATTCAGTTTGACCCGCCGTTGTGCAAAAGAAGTGAGTGTCCTCCATTTGCTTAAGTCCCCTGGACATTTCTTTTTCCAGTAATGATAGATTCCCTTTAAAATCAACAGGGGAAAATAAACAATATTCTTAACCAAATGGAAGGTGCTGTTTGGCGATTGTCGGCAAGGCGGGCTCTGGCCAAAGGCGCGATTCAGGCCGAATCATGGCGAATGGCGAACCACAAATTTGGGTGTGTCCTGTTTGAGGCGAAGTGGACCCTTTTTCGGACCAACAGGGGGTTCCCTAAGAAAAGGCAAAGCCATTTCTTGAAGCAACCCCCCAAAAGTGGGGAAGCGACGAGTTGGCCCTTTTCTGGGGGTGTAACAAATTGGCCTGGCCCTCGATGTATGAAATAGTTTGTCCAACACCCATTGCCGAATCAAGATGGTTGCTTCCTGTATATAAACTTGGTTGACGTTGGAAGGGGAGCAACAAATTTAATCTTAGCAGTTAAGTGGGGGCTTCCCACTAAACCACAACAAGCAAAAATGTAAAATGTTTCCTAACAACCATGTAATGCCCCTTGAGTTCCCAGAGTATCGAGCCTCGAACACCTCTAGACTCTAAGCCATGCAAACATGTTCACCCGGTTGCGAGAAGGCCCCAGGTGATTCAAGGGTGAGAACTTTTCTGGTTGATTGGGCCAAAATCTGTCTCCTTCCACTTTCTTTTAAACCAAACCCGAACAGTGCATGCCCTCCAACAACCACTACCTGCCGGTGATGGACCGAATATGACTGAATCCAATTCGCACTATTTTGAAACCAGACCCTCCAAAAACAACTACCTGCCGTGGATGGAGTGAATATGACTGAATCCAATTCGCACCATTTGAAACCACGGTTGAACCCATTGTTCCTTGGTATTTCCAGAAAGGATCGAATCATTCCCTGCGGCTTCTGAGCGGTGCGATACATGGACTTCGTTCCCTTCCATCCACACGGCTTTGGAACCCCTGGTCATTTCTGCACAACCCCTGGTATTCGGTTTGAAACAAAGCGAGCTGTTTCTTGCAGCCCCCTACTAAAATGAACAGAACCAAAAACCTAAAACACCAAACACACTTGCCAGGAAAGGTGAAGAGTGCCATTTACCAGGGGTGAGTTTGGGGTACCCAGTTTTGACCCGCAGCCATGTGGCGCTGCTGGGCCAACCGTCGCCCAATCCGACTTGCCGGCCTTCCATTTGGTTAAGACCCCTGGAAAAATCAAAAAATAGTTCACGTGGTGAAATCGATTCCCTTCACGAAACCAACAGGGGACAATGCAAAAAAAAGTAGTCCTTTCAGCAAATGGAAGGGTTGATTCCTTTTCCATTCTTTTCAACCATCGTTCTTTTTCAAAAACCGGCTGTTTCCCCCTGGGTTTTTCAGGGATCCTTACATCATACACCTGAACATTGCAACTTGTAAATTGCGGTTTCCGACTTTACTTTGGCGTTGAAAAAGCCACATGTTTCAAATCGTTGCAAAATGGAGATCTTTCTTAAGCAGCCCTGGTTTTTCTGGCCGCATCTCAAAAAAACCGACTGCAAAAAAACCGAAGCCGACCGGTTCGCCGACCGCGACGAGCTTTGCTTAGCAGAGCGGCTTGGACTCGAGGCCCAGCTCCGAGACCACCAGATCCGCCTTGGGAAAAACCCGCAGCAGCCGCTCCTCGCGGCTCGAGGTTCGTTCGGTCCCCGGTGGACCCGGACCCCGAGACCTGCGGTGGACCTCTCGGGGCCGGCACGCCGACCCCTAGACCTCAGACCCCCAAAGCCTCGGGCAATACGGAGGTGTATGTATGGCTTGTATTGTATGTGATTCAGGTATGTCTATTCAAGACGTTGCCACTCGTTGGAAGCCAAACATGGGTCAGGGAGTCAGGGCACTTGGTGTCTTCTGGCCACTTGCGGAAAGCTGTTCGACCCCGTCCAGGATTCCTTTTTGAGGAAGTCGCCCATTTTCTCGCCAAAGGTGGAAAAACGACCCCGCTGCACTCCTCTCTCGCTTAATTAACGAGGAAGCGTTCGCGCGCAAGCGCGCGGGCGTGTTGAGGAGGAGGCGGCCCGGACCGGCAGGCGCCGAAAGAAGTGGAGCCACTGGGTCATACTGTGAGTTGCGAAATCCAATTCGCACCACCGTTTAGAATCCCGGGAATCTTGATTCTCTGATTCCCTTGTAAAATACCAAGCAACTATGGCTTCCCATGGTTTCTTAGGTGCAGGATTTCGTCCGTCCACAGTAGGTGTCCTTTTTGGGAAAATCGATGGCCCTCAATTGGTGTTGATTGAACCAGGTAAATCAGGAATCGCCCGATTTTTTTTCAACCAACTCAACCTTAAAAAGGACACCTAGGAACTGGGCGGCTGGCGCAAACTTTGAAAAGCTGAGCTTCCCTAGGGGCGCGGAGTCTCGATTGGGGGGGGGGGCCTCATGGGCTCAGTGTTTGAGGGCCAATGAGGAATTGGTCGGGGTTCTGCATTGCGAGGGTCTGGGGGCTGCATTGGGATCATGACCCTTAGGGTTCCCAGATTTGTAGATCAGCAAAAATCAAGTCAACCCATACCTGACAAAAGCTGACCGCCAACGAATCAAAGCATCTCCTGTGTGTTCAAGCAAACGGCCCCAGAACAGTTTCAAACAGAACAGTTTCAAACAGAACAGTTTCAAACAGAACAGTTTCAAACAGAACAGTTTCAAACAGAACACTTTCAAACACGGGTGCCTAGGTTTTCCTTTGCCCTACATTGCTCTGCTATCCTCTGAACTGTTGGACCCCCCCGCAAAAAGTCAGGGGCTTTTGACACTGGGAGGGAATTCCCAGGGGCCACTCGCTGACAATATCCCAAACTTCAACGAGGCGATCGATTGGGTACGTAAGGTAAGCGGTGTGACCATGGCCAGAGCTCATCCGGTTCAGTGGGAAAAAAAGCCATGGCTACTATCCACTTCTCGACATTTGGCTGTGGCTCAGAAAATGTGCCAAAATGGCACCTTGGTAAATAAAAGCAAAGAGTAAAACCTGGCGTAACCCCTGCTGCTTAATTTTGAGCCACACCCATTTGTTTAGTGTCCCCTTGTTTTCACCCCCCCACCCCAAGAAAAAAACAACAAGACCATATGCCCTGCCCTCAATGACCCTCGGTGAGCGTCCTTGGAGATCTTCGACCGGTTCTTTGCCAGCGTGCCTCAAAACAGCCAATTCAAGCTTGGACCGCCAAGGGGCTCACTTTTTCCGGCGCCAAAACGGAACGTGACGGAAACACGAACGGGCGCATAAGAAAAAGAACACTTCGTTGTGTCTGGCACGGAAAGGTACCAAAACTCATGGTAGACTCACTTTGTGGCTTGGCCCAAAAAAGTCCAAGCTGTACATTTACCACTAACCAAGGGACCCAACAGACCCAACAACCGCTAAACATGTCATACAGAACCAAAAAACAAAAACATAATACAAGAAACAGATAGACATAACAATACTAATACTAATAGTAGTACTCATAATAGTAATAATGATGATAATAATAACAGTAATAATGATGATAATAGTAGTAGAAATAATGATGGTAACAATAGAGAAAAAAAAGAGGAACAAACAAAACTAAGAATGTTCCAAACTGAAAAGTGAAGAAAGATGAACAAAAAGACCACGAAACTCAGGGAGTCAGCAGAGAGTCCCGGCGGCCGGTGCTCACAAAATGTCTCGCGATGCAAAGACTTGCCTTTCATTGCAGCCCTTGCCTCAAAAGGTATTCATTCCAACCCGCGTGCGTTGCTTGTGTCTGTGTGTGTGTGTGTTTTTTGGCGGTATATACCTGGACCCTCGAGCTCTTGGCTCAAGTTGATTGTTGCTTTTTTTTGCTGGTTGGTTCTGTCCATTTTTAGTAGGGGGCTGAAAAGAGCAAGTTTTCTGCTACCGGTGGGGTCCGAGTGAATTTGGGTTCCTATGTTAATTCGTTGGAGAGAACTGTTCGTTGTAGGGGAGCAACTTCAACCGTCCCAAGAAAACCAACACCCGCGATTTGGCACCCATTCACCTAGGTTTGTCTATTGGGGAAATCTCTGACCGCCTTGGAGACGGCCTTTTGGTGAATCAACAGGGTTGCCGCCCTTAGAACTCTCTAGAAACATAATCTAGGTCCTCCAATAAAGAGGTTAGAATAAGGGTACCCTTTTTTCTGTGGTCTTTTTTATCAGGGGAACCCTCCCCCAAAAAGAAACGGTAAAAGGGCACTACTGGGGGACCTAGACATAATCCAACTGCTAGTTAAGAGCTGGCTGAGCTTCGGCTCCCTTTCGTCCATTTCCTGACCGCAGAGGCTACCTTCAGAAAAGAGCAAAAAGGGAATTCACCCTATAAGTTTCGCTAGGTCCTTGAGATTTGAGAGGCTAGAATAAGGGTACCTTTTTCTGTAGTCTATTTTAGTGGGGGAACCCTCCCCCAAAAAAGGGGTTAAGAAGGGCAATAGTGGAGGACCTAGTTGGGGTGACAACCCATGTTTCAGGGAAGTTCGAGAGTCCAGGTACCCCTTTGTTTGGGGGATGGACAAATGGAAACCACCAGGACGCCATCAACATGTTGAGTAGAAACACAGATCCTTCCTTTTTGATTGTCGCGGTGGTAACACCGAAAACCATGGATGCACTTGAAAGCTAAGGAACTCCTGTCCTCAGGAAAACCTCTGGGTACCGGAAACAAAAGAAAAAAGCACCAGCAAGATTGTGGCGTGGTCAAAAGCCAGATTCCCCTCTGATCGATGTTGGTGACAGAGACATGTAAAGGCAAAGTTGACTTTCAGCAGTTCTTGCACAAGCCTGATGACGCTTTGTTTGGACAGTCCCAACCAGTGACAGTCTTTGGGGGCATGCCCATAGCCACAATCAAATCCTGAGTCGAAGTTCAGAACGAGCAAAATCCTTGCATCTTTGGAAGAGGCCAGAACAATCGACATGAGTTTTGACATGGGGGCTTTCCATCCCTTCTGGTTTCCTTTAATGGAATCCCCTTCCCGTTCATTCCCAACACCCTGGGTCATTCGCTCCTAGCATTCCACATGGCAACGAGTTGATTTCACTTCAGAACCAAACAAAAACTTGTCTTCCTGGAGTTGTTGGGGGCTAAACCCACCCAACACCCAAGCCACCAACCCAAACCAGTCTGGCGGTTCTTGTGGCTGACGAAATGAGACCTTTGAAAGTCCACTTCCCCGCAAGCAGGACGACGAAGGCTGGTGGCCCAAAAAAACAGTCGGGTCTGTCTTGTTTGCAGTTGGCCCACTTTTTTGTCGGTGGTTTTACGGGGAAACTATCTGGACAACCGAAGCCATTTTGGGGGTCCCCTGAAAAAAACACAGACCCGATCTCTTCCCAAACCCTCCTCGAAGGCGAACTCCTTCACAAAACCCTTCCATGTACCATGGGCACCGGCAGAACGTCTGCAACCCTATGTTCCCCTCTCTTTCCGGGTCCATTGAAGCGACATCCTCCAAATTACCCAAGCAGCTGAAAGGGGCTTGAACATTGGTGTCCTTTTACCGAAATAGATGGCCCAGGTAGATGATTAAACCACCAGGTAAACCAGGGCCATCTATTTTTCTAGCAAAACAACCAAGAAGGACACCTATGGGCTTGAATTTACCCCCCAGGTTGGCTAAGCCGCCATTTTCCCACCCCCAAAACTGCTTCTGAGAGTCCCTCAACCTGCGGGCCCCAGGGAGCCTTCCCCCCCATGGATCTCTGTCCGCACGAGGCGCGCAAGGCTTGCCTCGGCGCCGGGACGTTCTGTGGGCTCGCCGCGACCTTCTGAGACTTCTTACCCTCCTTTGCCGAAAAGGGGCTTGGCTCAAATACGGGAACCCCCGACCTGGTGGGTTTCCTTTGGATGCCCCTTCAAACTGTAAACTACCCTCCCACCAACTAACATGGAAGTGCAAAAAGGCCTTTTCCTCTTGGAAAGTTTTGTCTGTCTACAGGGGTCCGGTTCCATGTTTGGTGGCAGGGCAAGTGGGCAAACAAAGGGACTCAGCGGATACAAGGGGCTCTCCTAAAAAACACCACTCTTTTTTTTTTTTTTTACCAAGGGTTGGTTTCAAAGGATACATGGAGGAACCCTTGAAAGGATACATCCCACCACTATTATTTTACAAGGTTCTCCAAGAAAGGCCCATTGGACAAGGGGTGGCCCAAAAAGATATGTTGGGGTGCCTCAGTTTTTCGAGGGTAACCCATTTACCTAGACTCTACATGACCCTTCAAAAAGGGGTCATCGCCCAAAAGAAAAGGGTCATTGAGTCATGACCCCTTTTTTGAGGGGTCACGGAGACTCTAGGTACCCGATTTTGGGGGTCTCCTAAAACAGCCACGCCCATTTTTTGACCCTGACCCAAACCCACCGAGGGAGAGGCTGCAGGGTCTTCAGCGAGGTGTTCTCCCGAGACTTGTTCCTGCAGGCTGCCGAGTTTGTTGGCAACCCTAAGCATCAGACGGGACCCTCCATTGGAGGCTTGGTCCTCCAGATTTGAGAGGTTAGAATAAGGGCTCCCGATTTTTGTTCTGTAGTCTATTTTAAGGAACCCTCCCAAAAAAAGGGTAAAGGGCACTACTGGGGGACCTAGAAGGGGTCGTATTTGGAAAGGATTGTTTCTTTTTCGAGGGCCCAAGATGCGCAACTCAGCTGCCCAAACAACTCGCAAAGAAATGGTGAACCTTTTGGGACCTCTACTAAACATGGACCAAAAGGAGGAACTAAAAGGTTAAGTGAGTCATAATCAAAACCCGGTATTAAAATGGTCGACCCAGAACCATGTAAAGGATTAAGAAGGCGGAGAGCCGCAGCTAGTTCTGGTTGGGATTGTCCCGTACTAATCTTCATCTACGCGGATTTTGATTGTGGCTCAAGTGAGATGTCCTCCAGTAGAGAGGTTAGAACAAGGGTACCCTTTTGTCTGCAGTCTATTTTAGTAGACAAACCCAACCAAAAACGGGGAGAGAACGGCCCCTAGTCCAGGTTCCCAAATTGGTTCAAGTTGGTTGGGCAATCTTTTTCAGCCTGTCCTTTCCAGAACCTCCAGCAGCTGTCGGAGGCCCCATCTCTCCTGATGAGTCTCTCTCTCTGTCTTTCTCTCTCTCTCTCTCCTATACTGTGGATAGTTGCGAAATCCATTTTGCACCACCTAAGAAACCACGGGAAACCATTGTTGTTTGGACAAGGCAATCGGTATTCCAAGGTTTCTCAAATGGTGCGAACAGATTTTGTCCATCCACAGTATCTCTCTCTCCCCCTCCTCCTCTCCCTCTTCCTCTCCCTCGCGCTCTCTCTCTCTCTCTCTCTCTCGATGTTTGTCTCAATCTACTGTGGATGGACGAGATCCATTTCGCACCACCACAGAAACCCTGGAATGATGATTCCCTTGTAAATACCAACCAACAATGGCGTCCTATGGTTTCAAAGTGGTGCATGATTTCGTCCATCCACAGTAGGACTGGGTGGGTTTCCCCGTAAAGCCCAAAGAAGGGCACCCTCGAAAAAAAGACACGAAACTCCCTCGGCCGCTCTCATTTGATGTAGAAAACGCCTTTTCTCTTCCGAATGATCCCAAAGCTTTACTAGGTCCTCCAGATTTGAGAGGCTAGAATAAGTTGGTACACCATGATTTTCGGTTTGGTCTATTTTAGTAGGGGAACCCAAAACCAAAAGAAGAGGTGAGAAAGGGCACCGAGCTGGGGGACCTAGTTTCAACTCCCCTCCCCAAATGGAAGGGGCCGACTGTGCAACTGGATCGGCAAAAACTCCTGTGGGCCGTGCCAGAGGAAGCTGCACATGGGTTTTAAATCCCAATGAACGGCTTCCATTTGCTTGAGTCCCCTGGGCCAAAAGGAAAAACAAACAAGAATATGTCCAGTAGTGACAGATTCCCTTTGAAACAGACAGAAAAGGCAAAAACACAATGCTCTTTTCAGCAGATGGAATGTAAGGAGACCCGAACTGGAAGCCGGGAAGCCGGGACTTACTCTTCAAAGACGCCCAGTGTGAAATCATGAACACTTATCAACCCAAAACAAGCTTGGTTGCTGTTGATCGACCCCCCTGCAAAACAGTTTAACTCATTTTTTGTTTCTGAGATCGGTATGCTTAAGGACCACGGGCTTCACGGGCACCACGGGCACAGCCTTTTTTTTTTGGGGGGGGGTGGAAGACCCCTTGATTTCACCAGAAGTTAAAGTCTGTGGATCCAACCCAATAGCACAAGAAAACGAGGAACTTCTCTTGAAACCCTCATACTGTGCTGAAACCATGGGGACAACCAGAATGGACGTGTGTTAGTACTTACAGGGGGGATTCAAGCATTCCAGGGATGGTTTTCGTCCTTCCACAGTATGAGCTCCCAAACCAAAGACCCTCATGAGATCACTCTTTTCTTGGGGAGATCGCATGGGGAGCAAACAAAATTGTCCCCCACGAGTCAGTCACGAGGCCCTAGAAATTGGTGCGCCAGGACGAAAGCAGACCCAAACTAATTACGACCCTTCTTGGCTGGTTTCCCCTCTGCAAATAGATTGCTACGTGCATGCGTATGATGTCATTCCCCACATCTATGTGTGGGGTTCTTACTTTTACCGCTCGTCGTCCGCGCGCCGCGTCTCCTTCTCCTTCTCCTCCTCCTCCCGCCCTCCCTCCTCATCACTGTCTCACTCACTCACTCACTCACTCGCTCACACTCACTCACTCACTCTCACTCACTCACTCACTCACTCACACTCACTCACTCACGCTCACTCACACTCACTCACTCACTCACTCACACTCGCTCACACTCACTCACTCACACTCAGTCACTCACACTCACTCACACTCACTCACTCACTCACTCACTCACTCACACTCACTCACTCACACTCACTCACACTCACTCACTCACGCTCACTCACACTCACTCACTCACACTCACTCACTCACACTCACTCACACTCACTCACTCACACTCACTCACACTCACTCACTCACTCACTCAGCTCACTCACACTCACTCACTCACACTCACTCTCATTCACTCACTCTCATTCACTCACTCACTCACTCACTCACTCGCTCACACTCACTCACACTCACTCACTCACACTCACTCACACTCACTCACTCAATCACTCACGCTCACTCACACTCACTCACTCACACTCACTCTCATTCACTCACTCTCATTCACTCACTCACTCACTCACTCGCTCACTCACTCACTCACACTCGCTGACTCACTCACACTCAGCTTTCACTCACACCGTGTAAAGGGACTGGATGTTGTCGCGCAAGAGACAGCATGTTGTCGCGCGCGCGGCGGGGGGCGTGCGAAATCGTGGCAGGCGCAGCACTTTGGCGATGCCATTGCCGAAGTCGTGGCAGGCGCAGCATTCTGTGCATCTGGGTGTGTGTTTGTGTGGCAGGGACAGCATTTGGCAGCTGTCTAAAAGGACAGGATGTTGTCGCGCGCGCGGCGGGGGGCGTGCGAAATCGTGGCAGGCGCAGCAGCGTTCGGCAGCTGTCTAACGGGACAGGATGTTGTCGCGCGCGCGGCGGGGGGCGTGCGAAATCGTGGCAGGCGCAGCACTTTGGCGATGCCATTGCCGAAGTCGTGGCAGGCGCAGCATTCTGTGCATCTGGGTGTGTGTTTGTGTGGCAGGGGCAGCATTTGGCAGCTGTCTAAAAGGACAGGATGTTGTCGCGCGCGCGGCGGGGGGCGTGCGAAATCGTGGCAGGCGCAGCGTTCGGCAGCTGTTCTAACGGGACAGGATGTTGTCGCGCGCGCGGCGGGGGGCGTGCGAAATCGTGGCAGGCGCAGCACTTTGGCGATGCCATTGCCGAAGTTGTGGCAGGCGCAGCATTCTGTGCATCTGGGTGTGTGTTTGTGTGGCAGGGGCAGCATTTGGCAGCTGTCTAAAAATACAGGATGTTGTCGCGCGCGCGGCGGGGGGCGTGCGAAATCGTGGCAGGCGCAGCATTCGGCAGCTGTCTAACGGGACAGGATGTTGTCGTGCGCGCGGCGGGGGGCGTGCGAAATCGTGGAGGACAGGATGTTGTCGCGCGCGCGGCAGGGGGCGTGCGAAATCGTGGCAGGCGCAGCATTCGGCAGCTGTCTAAAGGGACAGGATGTTGTCGCGCGCGCGGCGGGGGGCGTGCGAAATCGTGGCAGGCGCAGCACTTTGGAGATGCCATTGCCGAAGTCGTGGCAGCCGCAGCATTCTGTGCATCTGGGTGGTGTTTGTGTGGCAGGGGCAGAAATTTGCGGCTGTCTAAAGGGACAGGATGTTGGCGCGCGCGCGGCGGGGGGCGTGCGAAATCGTGGCAGGCGCAGCACTTTGGCGATGCCGTTGCCGAAGTCGTGGCAGGCGCAGCATTCTGTGCATCTGGGTGTGTGTTTGTGTGGCAGGGGTAGCATTCGGCAGCTGTCTAGAGGGACAGGATGTTGGCGCGCGCGCGGCGGGGGGCGTGCGAAATCGTGGCAGGCGCAGCACTTTGGCGATGCCGTTGCCGAAGTCGTGGCAGGCGCAGCATTCTGTGCATCTGGGTGTGTGTTTGTGTGGCAGGGGTCGCATTCGGCAGCTGTCTAGAGGGACAGGATGTTGTCGCGCGCGCGGCGGGGGGCGTGCGAAATCGTGGCAGGCGCAGCACTTTGGCGATGCCGTTGCCGAAGTCGTGGCAGGCGCTGCATTCTGTGCATCTGGGTGTGGAGATGCCATTGCCGAAGTCGTGCCAGGCGCAGCATTCTGTGCATCTGGGTGTGTGTTTGTGTGGCAGGGGCAGCATTTTGTCACTCATTCGCTCGCATTCATACTCACACTCACTCACACTTCTCGGATGTCTAAAGGGTCGTCCACAAGGCTTGTGTAAGTGCAGAGCTGTGAGTACATGAGGCAGGGTGCATTGTGAGGCAAGCTGTTGGATGTTGAGATTGGGCTCGCAGAAGCTTTGTGTCCAGGGTCACGAACTTATATTTTGCAGAAGTTTTGTCAGAAGTTGGCAGAAGTTTTGTCAGATGTTGGGCAGCGCGCACCTTCATTGGAACCTTTCAGGAAGGCAGGCCCTGCAGGTTCCCCGCGGAGAAGCCTTGAGATGGACATCTGACTGAAAAAGCTTGACTTCATCGTCCAACACATACCACAGTGCTATTTCTCTTTGGGAAAGTGTCCAGATCTTCTCCGATGCTGAGCTGCAAGATGACCTCCTGAGATGCACGTGCGGCGCAGCGAATAATCTAACAAGATGGACTAAGTTCGAGAATGTCTCGAACTTGCTTTTTTTTGTTGATTAGCGGCTCGGGCTGCAGTAGGTTAGCAACGCCTGCGATGAAAAAAGCGCGCTAGACCTGCTCTGTAATCGCATCCATACAAGGGGCGCACGGTACATGTGTGTGGACATTTGAACTCACATCCTTGGGAAAAACATAGCATGTGGGGTTATCCGGTCCTTTAATGCACGAACCCCCCCCCCCCAAAAAAGAAAAAAACGCGCCCCCCCCCCCCCGCCACAAAAAAAAGATGAAAAAAGAACCATGCACATTCAGAGAGCCCAACTCGCTACGTGGCAGTCACGCGCATCCGTGCCTGGTACATTCGAACCCTCCTGACATCCGTCCCGCCTCCTTGGGGAGAGCCCCGAGCTTAGACCGCTGCCTGCCGAAGAAGCCAAATGGGTTCCCCATCCATCCCTCGCTTCCGATCGAGTGGATTGGATCCAAAAGTCCAAACGTTTTGGGATAGGTTGCCCAAAGGACCTGCAACTCAAAGGTTAACCTTTTGGGTTGCCATGACTAGATATGGACCAAAACGGAAAAACCCAAAGGTCAGAGCCAGCTGAGATCCCCTCGTGGGGTTCAAGGGGAGCCTCAGGGGAGCCCAAGACGGGATCGCATTCCGAAAACCCCCCCGAAACTGACGCGAGAAAATCCGCGGGACCGGCCACGAACACAAAAAAACACGAGCTCTTTGACCATGGGGATCGATCTCTGCGCCCTAGTCGGCTGCCAAAAACATGTGCTGCGCCCCAGTCGGCCGCTCGACATGTAAATGGATGACTCGAGCATGGTTGTCGAAAGTAGCCTTTCTGTGATGCCAACGTGCTTGATTTCCATGACCAACGACTACGAAATATCGCTTGAAAGGGGCTTAAAGACTGGCAACCGAACAACCATGTGACAATGTGTGTTTGTTTGTTCCCCAGAACCATGCCAACCACTTGCAAAGATGGCAGTGATGGCCAACTCATCAACTTAGGCCTCCAGCAAAGAAACACCTCGCGTCCGGAACTCTCCCAGGCTCCGAGAAAAAACAACACTGCACCGGGCTATCCGCTGTCAGATCCCCTAAACGTGACGAACACTCTTAGACCCAGCCACTGAACCCAGAAAAAAAGAAAAGGAAAAAAACCTAAGGAACCGATGGCTGGCAACAACTTCAGGTTTTGACTCCCAAGCCACAGAGCCCGCACGGACAAGAATGCATCTCCGAGACACGAGCAGAACTTCTGAGAGCGCAACATGAGGTCAGCCACTGCGGACGGACGAAATGCATCTAAGGCACCAAGAAACCCTGGAGTGACTTGATTCCAGCAAACCTTATACCTGGACCTTCCAGGGGTCAAACATTTTAGGTCTTAGGCGAAAATTTGGAGCATGCAGGAAGGCCCAGGTATGGTTGCATTCCCATAGTTTCTGAACGCTGCCCAAAGGTCCCGATTGATTTTGGGGCCTCATCTTCCTTTTTTGAGGGCCCCTGAGGGCTCGGGGTTCTGCATTGAAAGGTCCCTTATGGGGTCTGCATTGGGGTCATCACCCTTACGGTAACTCTCCTGCGACGGGTAGCAAACCTTTCTACCCCTTTTTTCTGTTTCTTTCGTGCCAACAATGGTTTCCCATTGTTAAGTGGCGCGAGGGGAGTCGTGACTCTCAAGGCACCCGCCCGGCCCGCGAAAAACTCCGCGCCTCTGCTCGGACAACATGTCGCTGAGCTGGCGCTCAGGAAGGCACCACCCAGCGCAGCGGAGCCACCTGGCGCCGCGCTCCGCGCGCGAAGATCGCAGGGAGCGAGTGCTGGGGGGGGGGGGGTGTGGGTGGGCACCCAAAGGATGTCGCTTTGTTTTTCTCCCAAAACGGGGTCTGACACATGTTTAAATGGTGAAATATCTCCAACAAGCGTCCGAAAACTTGCAAAGGGCGGAATCGCCTCGTCTCGATCCATGCCTGACCAAAACAAAAAACTCCGTGCCGCGCAAATCGGACTTTCTTTCCCTCTGGTATGGCGTCAAGGCGAACCAGAAGCAAACCTTTTCGATCTCGAACTTCGGCCGTTGGATAAGGCTCAAAGACGCGGACCAAAATGGCCCCTCGGTAAATGAAACCGAACTCTGAAACCTGCGTAACCCGGTTGTTTAATTAATTTTGAGCCAAATGTGCCAGGTGGATGTTGGCCCAAAACTTCCGAGTCCTTGTGAAGGTAGAGGCGTGTTTTGGTTCTTACTAGGTCCCTCTTTTTACTAGCTCCGTTTGGCCATCACCTGCATCACTTGGACCTGGTTGCCTATCCCCTAGTCAAAACCTGGTCAACCAAGCAAAGATGTCCAAGTTTACCAACCAAAAAGCGGTGGCTTTCGGCTTAAAGTGACTAACATCCAAGAAAAATGCACCAAAGAAAAAGCGGTTCTCAAAAAAAACACCCACACACCCGTTTCCACCCCCCCCCCTCCCCGTCCTTCCCCCCCAAAAAAAAAGACAACCAACAGCTACCTCCTCCTTTCTTGTCCCGTCATTGTCGCCTAATCGCCTGCTGGTGGTCCAACACCCCGCGCTTCTGCTCGTCCAGAAGGTTGAAGGCCACCTGACCCCAGCCCCTTGGCCCCTGGGCCCCTGGGCCCCTGGGCCCCGCAACTTTCGTCGGTGGTTCTACCCTGGTTTCATATAAAGGTCATGAAGCAAATTGCCATTTGGTTGTCCTTGTTTCTCGGGAATCCTTTTTTTAGTGGGCCTAGGCAAAGAAACACGAAGCGGCAGGTTGTTTGGCTCCCTAGTCTTGAGGCAAACCCATATCGGTTTGTCTTTGGTTTTCCAAAAGGAAACTCGTTGCGCCATGTGGTTGGCTACAACCCCTACAATAAGATGACATACCCATATAAACCTTTATAAGCATCTGAGAGTGGATTGGATCCAAAAGAAAGTCCCCCAACTCTTGAATAGGCCGCCAGAATGGCAACCAAACCAAAAAGTGACGAAACTCCAGGAACTGTGGCTGCCATTTGCTTCAGCCCCATGGAACAAATAAAAACATGCCCTAGTAGTTAAAGCCAACCGGGGGAACAATCCTTTCAACAAGTGAAAGAGGGAAGTGAGTGGCTGAAACACCTACCCTCCTGACGTGTGCCAATCAGTACGTGCGTTGCCCAGCGAGTAGATACATCCTGGCAGAAGGCACTTTGCTGTCATTTGCCGCGTTGTTCCACACCCCTTGTTCAGTGACGCTGGCAAAGAAAGGTACAAGTGTGCTTGTTTTATGACTTTCTGATTTTTCAAACTAGGGCTTTTGGGAATGAGTCCAAGGATGGCCTTGAAGGAAACTACCTTGTGGATGGTTCAGTTTCGGGATTGGTTCATCCGATCGAACCAGCAACTACTACAAGATTAAACGTGTATACTAATTACATATCAAAATCAAAAATCAATCAAAATTACACTACCCTCCCACCAACATGGAACCTGGCGTTTCGGGGTCTTTGGACGATGTTCTTCCAAAAATGGGCCATTTTCCCTGTGGCTTCCATAGCAACGTGTCCAAGACCGAAACCAAGGGCCCTTCAAGCGCCTCCAGTTTGGTTTGGAGCCGAATCGGTTTGGTGGTTGAGGCGGAGTTTCCCAAGAGCCAGGGGTTCAACTTCCCTGCCTTCATTTCTCAATTTCGCTTCGAGCAATCCCCGCCCTACGCACTCACGAGCTAACGGCCGTTACAACAAATTCCTCCGCATCCTAAAGACTCCGACCCCGAATTCCCATCGGCCCTTTTGGACATGGAGTGAATCCAGACTGGCGAGCTCTGGCGGGACACTGGCGGGATCCACTGGCGATCGGCGAAATCCACTGGCGGGCTGCTCTGGTGAGATACTCGGCGGGATCCGCTCGAGCTACTCTGGCCGACAGCGGGATACTCGGCATCCACTGGCGGGCTGCCCGCGGGATACTCGGCGCCATTCGAGCTACTCTAACCGGATACTCGGCGGCATCCACTGGCGCGCCGCTTTGGCGGGATGCTCGCGGGATACTCGGCGGGATCCACTGGCGAGCCGCTTTGGCGGGATGCTCGGCGGGATCCAGCTCTGGCGGGATACTCGGCGGCATCCACTGGCGAGCAGCTCTGGCGGGATACTGGGTGGGATCCACTGGCCAGCTGCTCTGGCGGGATACTCGGCGAGATCCATTCACTGGCGAGCTGCTCTGGCGTGAACTGGGTGGGGGCGTTGTGTAGCAGCATCGCAAACGCGGATTCCAAAATAAAATCTAACAACCCCTTCCTGTCGGGTGGGGAACACAAAGCAACCAAAAAAAATACATCGCTTCGAGCAATCCCCACCCTCCACACTCACGAGCTTACGACCGTTACAACAAATTCCTCCGCATCCTAGAGACTTTGACTCCAAATCCCCCCGCAGCTGCCCATCACAAATGCAGCAGGCCACGTGCCATGCCAGAAGCGCGCCACGGCAGCGTAAACAAAAAATGCAAAACGATACAAAAGAATCATGCCACAACACGGTTGCGTGAATACAAGCATGGTTTTCGAGTGGCTTGGGGCCTATGACTGCTCAACAAGCTTTGCATTGAGAGCCTTATCCACCTGTCTGTGTGTCAAACTCCACTTGTCTGCGAGCCGATCTCGAGAAGTCAAACATCGGTTCCGTTAACAAAAGCCAAGCCCCTTGTAAAAGAATCCCGGCGGGGGATCAAACGAGGTTGCTTATTCGCAACCCAAAGCAACACAAAAGCATCACCCTTTCCGAGCCTCAGGGTACACTCAAAACACGAAGGCACCAACGTGAAATGTAAACCCAACTGTGTGCCGAGCGGGACATTAAGCAAAACCAGACTGGCGAGCTGCCACCAGAGCAGCCCGCAGTGGATCCCGCCGAGTATCCCGCTGAGTATCCCAGAGTAGCTCGCCAGCGGATCCCGCCGAGTATCTCGCTGAGTATCCCTTGCCGGTGGATCCTGCCGAGTATCCGGCCAGTATCGAGCCGGAGCGGCCCGCCAGCATTCGCCAGTGGATCCCGCCAGTATCCCACCAAAGGATACTCGGCAGGACCCACTGGCGAGCTACTCTGGGATACTCAGCGGGATACTCGGCGGGATCCACTGGCGGGCTGCTCTGGCGGGATACTTGGCGGGATCCGAGCAGCTCTGGCGGGATACTGGGCGGGATCCACTGGCGAACTGCTCTGGCGGGATACTCGGCGGGATCCACTGGCCAGCTGCTCTGGCGGGATACTGGGTGGTGGAGTGGTGCAGAAGCATCGCAAACGCGGATTCCAACATAAAATCTAACAACCCCTTCCTGTCGGGTGGGGAAAATGCATGTCCAAGTAGTGATAGACTCCCATTAAACATATTAAAACCAACAGGAGAAAAGAACAAATATTCTTAAGCAAACGGACGTTTTGCAATGTCCGTCCAACAATCCAAACATCCAAGCAAAGCAAGGCCAAACATAGGTCCTGGGTATGTCCGACGTGATAATCTTACGGCTCGAAGCACTGTCAGGGGCCACTGAGAAAGGGCCGCCTCTCTTGTTGGTTGGTTTTCAAGGGGTCGCCCGCCCTTCTGCAAAGCAAAATCCATTGACTAGGTCCTCCATTAGAAGGGTAACCGATTTGTCTTTCTGTAGCCTATACCCAAAACCAACCAAAAAAGGGGTGAGAAAGGGCACCTAGCTGGGGGAGCTAGTTGAACTAAGCCCAGGTGTATGCCCGCCTTGTCGGTTACCCCAGCCCGCAACCACAGCGAACCACTCCGGAGCTTCTCTGGGCAGCCCCAAATTCCGCTGAGGAAAACAGCGCCACTGGGCATAGGTGTCCTTTTTCGTTGGAAATAGCAAGGGCCCTGGAAGATGATTAAACCACCAAGTAAGCCAGGAATCGCCAGCTATTTTTCTAGCAAAACAGCCACAAACCAAAAAGGACACCTATGCCTCTGGGCTTGAGCGCAAATAGGGTACGAGTGCCCATGCCTAAAACCCGCTTGTCCCATTGGTGCAAGTACTGTTTGTTGGCAGAACCGACTTATTTCAGGCCTACTTACCATGGTTCTATGCTTCTAACTAAGTGGGTAGCTACAGTGGATGGAAGAAATCCTTCACCAGTTTGAAACCATAGGAAGCCATTGTTGGTTGGTGTTTACAAGGGAATCATGATTTCCGGGTTTCTCCCGCGGTGCGTTGGATGGATTTCGTCCATCCACAGTATGCGCAACTACGAGATCGCCGACCGAGAGGGTCACACGCAGTACTGTCCAGCCTTCATCTCGGAGGGCGAGCTCAGCGCAATCCGCTGAGAAGGCAGGGGATCGCCCTTGTGATCCTGGCCAGGCGTGGCCAGCTCGGCATACTTTCAGTCTATGGCTCATTTGGGAGGGACATGGGGGAGCTCACTAAATTACTCACAAAACACCAGGGACTCACAAGTAATGTTGCCTGCTAAGTTTGTGCATGCGGCCCCAAAATTACATTCGCGAAGGATTGTCCATGTAAGACCACTTGTTGGACCAACTAATGAAGGAGGAAACCTGCCCTTGGTATGGGCTTGCAACAACTCACCGGCTTTCTTTAGCGCCCCCCACTAAACGTGAACAGAAACAAACCAAACAAACATGCAGTCGAATATATAAGTTGTTCAATAAGACCGACCCCGAAACATCCTGGCAGGAAGCCGCTTGCGCAGCTGAAAGCCTGAAAGCTGTGCGGTCGATCTCCGGAGAGGCTTGGCACAAGCCAGACGGGAAGCTTCCAACCATTCTCTCCTATCCTCTTTTCAGGTTACTATCTGAAAACCCTGGAGAAAGAAACATATTGGTTTTTGAAGTCAAAAAGAAGGATGGTCCAGCACCCCCCCCCCCATTTGCAACAAAAACAAATCCCAAGTGCGGTAACCAAAAAGGAGGGAGTTGTTGGGACCGGGTGCTGGGTTGAAAAGAATGGACAAGGAATCCAACAACCATTCCTCGGTTGCTTTCCGCTCCCCTGCTAAAAGTTTAACTTTTAGTGGTTGAATGGAAAACCCATTCGTTGGCCAAGGGTCAAAGTCCTAACATCCGAGCGAAATGCACCAAAGATTCGAGTGCCGGATTTCCCAAATCGACCCTACCCCTCTGAGTCTACCTTTCGGTTTGCTTCCGACTCTGCGCGAGAGGCTGGTGCTCTGCAAAAACTGGAAAGGGCAAGGCCCTTTAAAAGAGATACACCAAAAGGAGACAAGACCAACTTGCGAAAACACAAAAGAAAAAACGATCGCAACTTGGCTATCTAGGTTGTTTTTGGCTTATCCTTAGGTATGTCCCAGGGTCTGGTGGCACCTGTGAAATTACCTTTTTAGGGGTCAAAAAGGCGACAAGACCAAGTTTCTACCCAGAGAGGTGAGTCATCCTTTGTGGGGAGTTCGGAGCAAGCCGGTCGAAAGATCTATCCGTCTACCTGGTGGTTGCAACACCCCAACATGGTTGGTGGACAGAAATCTTAGATGTGAATACGTCCACTTTTGAGGGCACTAATCGGGGGTGGTCACCTGATACCCTCCCCCAAACATGGAAGCTCGCACCCCTTTGGAAGACCGGGGTCCATTTGCAGAGGCCTTCTGGGAGCTTCCATGTTCTGAGGGAGTGTATATGCGGAATTCAATCCTGCCAGATCCCCCGCTCAAAGTTGAAAACTTTTAGTGGGTTAAATACGGAAACTACCACTAAACGCTAAAAACACTAAAATGCTAAAAGGCTAAAAGGCTAAAAGGCTAAGGAACCGGATGCCCGGCTTCGCCACCAAGAACATTTTAGGGGGAACAACCCTCTGAACAGTCTGGTCCCCCGAAGCCCTCCGAAGCCCTCCGGAGCGCGAGATATGATTCAGTCTTCGCTTCTGGGAGGGCCTTTCTTGTTTTTTTTCAGGGTAAACGTCACCTCTTCCCAGGGAAAACCTTCGGACCAACCTTCGGACCAAACCAGGGCTTTTTTTTCAGGGAAAACCTTCGGACCACACAGGCGACGCTGTTTCAGCAAGAAAGTGCCAGACGAAACACAAAAAACATGAAGCATGTACTAGACACTTCCCGACCGCTGGTATGGCGAGTTGCAAGTTAAGGTTGGAACCGCCTCAAAAGAGGACATGAATCCCCACTCAAAAGACTTGCATCAGAACTCCCCATATTTGGGGGATCCAACAATACACCCCAAGGAGCTTTGAATTTCCCCGACCACCCCGGCTTTTCCTCCACTGCCAGGTCTAAACAGGCCTTCCTTCCGCCCCCTCAAGCCTTGAGGCCCGGCGTCCTCGGGCCCAGGCGCTCTTCCTTGAGCGCTCCTGGCGAAAAAACAAAAAAATCCTTCGAAGAATGCCACTGGTCTAGCGGTACCTCCCCCATTCTTTCCAAAAATCCGGATCTTTCCTGAAAACCTCCAGACATCCAGGGAAAACGGATCTGGTCTTCGAAAAGAACGATGGTTGAAAAGAATGGGGAACCAACCCCTAGAACTGGGGGTCTTTTTGGGGTTCACTTCCCGGCGCTCCGGTCGGTCTCCCTCCAAAACCTTTCCAAAAAAGGGGGTTCCCCCCCGAACGGATCCACATGGGACATCTGGGGTACACAGCGATATGCCTTTCTGAGTCTGTTTCATATTTAATCTACCCCAAAGTATAAACCACTTTGAAGACCCCAGAAGTGGTTCAAGGGCCAGGGCTCCCTGAATTGTGTCCTTTTAGGAACCCCTAACATGGATAGTTTTACCCGATAGCCCCTTTGAACCACAAACAAGGGCTACTCAAAAGACAAATTCGTGTTTCCCCTTTAAACGTCACCCACCAAAAGCAGCCACTCTGGAAATTCACCCCTACAGTAATTTCAAAGGTACCACCACAATCCTGAAACATACCTACTGTGGATGGTTGCGACATCCGTTCGCACCAATTTAAAACCATAGACCACCATTTTTGTTGGTACTTGCAGTGGAATCATCATGCCAGGGTTTCTTAGGTGGTGTAGGATTTCGTCCATCCACAGTAAGGATAAGCCCAAAAACAAGAGCAAACTAGGGGTAAATTCGCCCTAAATACGGTTTGTTCTGGTTGGGACCCGGTCAGTGGGGGAAGTCTTTGAGTACTCGTCCCAAAGCGGCTTCCGTTTCAAGCATCTGAGAGTTCCAGAGACGGGCATGTGTGAAAGTGGAGTACACTCACCATTAATGTGTGGTTTCCTGGAGCTTTAAGCCAACCCCATACAGGGTATCCTGATATGATCAGACACCCAGGTTTGTACAGATCGAGTCAGCACCAACTGGAACGGATGAGACTGAAGCCCCACTCAGTTGCCCCAAGCACAAACCCAGGACTAAAAGGTGATCACCTTTTGGCACTACTAAAAATGGGCCAACATGGGAAGACCAAAAGGGAGCAACATTCGCTGCCCCTCAGGTCCCCGGCCAAGCGCAGACGCCATGGCCAGCGAGCGAGCGGTGTTGGTTTTCCACAAGGTCCTCCAGTGAGAGGTTAGCATAAGGATACCTCGATGTTTGATGTTTTTTTTTTTTTGTTTACTTGTTTTGTTTTTCTTATTTGTGTTTCTTCTTTTTTCTGTAGTCTATTTTAGTAGGGAACCCTCCCATCCAAAGAAACGGTAAAAGGGCACCTAGCTGGGGGACCTATAGGCAAATATGGATGTCACAACCAAGGGCCGAGATTTTGGCGCTGCTCCTTTCGGTTTCCATCTCACTTTGAGCCAAGCCGAAAGGGGTGCCGAACAAAAAAAACATAACACTTATCTCTCCATTTGCTTAAGTCCCCAGGAACAAATGAGAACATATGTCCAGTGGTGAAATCGATCCCCTTTGAAATCAGCATGGAACAAAATCTTAACCGAATGGAAGTATGCATGGTTTTACTTTCCAATGAATGTGGACAGGCATCTTCAAGCGGAAGGCTCCGAATGGCCAAAGCTGAAAGCTTGCGCATCAGCCCAGTGGTACTTGGCAAAGGCGCAAACCGTTTGACGTGTTGGTCAGTTGCTCCTTAGGGGGGCGCTTTGAACAACTGAGGTTCTGGGTTAGCGGAATGCACAATTCCCCAAAGAGCTAAGGCTCAAAGATGTAACCAATAGCGCCCTTCGTGTGTGTTTTTCTCCTGAATCCGTCTAAACCAAAGCACCGGGCAGTGGACTAGGGACCCAGGGAGCCGTGTCCGCACCATCCATCTGTATCTCCCTCTTCAAACATCACATGCAAAGGCAGCTCACTTCAAAGGGGATGAAATGGTGATGTTTAACCCCCCCTTTTAAAAAATAAATAAATAGACAACTAAAAAATAATTTAAACATGCGGAGATATCGTGAACCCTGTTCAAACCAGCCATTCCTTTTGCCCAATGTCCATGGGAAGAAAAGAACCCCCGTTCTGTCGATTGGGTTTCCACATGGTACCGTTGGTCAACTGGGACTTTCGTCTTGCAAGGCCAGTTTGTCTGATTGTGTAGCTATGTTTTGCCACCAGGAAAAGGCCTCAGGATCAACCCCAAATTTGGGGCTGCGGGGGTGCTGGGTGAGAGAAGTGCAAAAGAGAGCGGAGGAGTGAGCTCGTACTATCCCCAGGCTCGACAAAACATAGGCGGCAGACCGGCAAACCCTGGCATGGACATGCCTCTACTTCCATTTGCTGAAGCCCCCTGGGGAAAAACATATTGTGGTGATAGAATCCTTTTAAAACCAACCGGAGAAAATAAACACCTTCTTACGCAAGAAGTCTAGCTACACTCGCAGAAATCCAGACTCCATTTGTCCCAAACCCGCCATGACCTGCCCTTCGGCAGAAGGTCAAACGTCGGGAGGTTCTCGCCGTTATCAGGCTTCGAGCGGGAGGCGGCAGAGGTCGGGCAATGTTTTGAGGCTGGATGGGATGCTCTTCCATAAAGTAGAAGGGTACCCACCAGCAAGGTTCTACAAACTCCTTCCTTCGAAGCCTCCCCTGGAGCCTTTTGATAGTAGGGGTAGGCCAGCTCATGAACGGACACTTCCCCTTTCAGGAAATTTCTTGAAGCGTCCTTTGATTCCTCAAGGGGTCCGCCCCCGGATTTTGTAGTAGGCCTAAGTTCTTTGTGCTATCTCTCCTGGAAATTGTTTCGTCTGTCAATGGCAGACCGCACACAAACAAGCAAAACAGAAACGCGTGATATAAATGGAAATTCCAAGATTCAGGCTAGGTGAACCCCCAAATTGGTGAGCTCGCCAGAAGAAGATGCTGGTATATAGGAGCACATATGTACAAATATGTGTATATATATATATATACAAATGGGGGGGGGGTAGGGACGCTGCACCAATGCCTGGCCTTTGGGGACATGTGTCTTTCGGAGAACCCCCGATGAACAAATGGTCTTATGAATCAGGGCTCGATATCAACTATGAACCAACTTGTCCATGATGGTTTAGATCGATAGCTGCAAGAAATAATCTAGTTGGCCCAGCTACCCTTGTTGACTCAGTTGAGAAGCTCGTTTCACAATCGGTGGACGTTGGACAGAGTGAGATGTCTTTGCTTCTGGCTTCCTCTGAAGACATTCCCTTTCATTAGTTGCCCGACCCTGCTGGGCAAGCCCATCACGAAGCGAGCAAGATCGCTCGTCGTTATCGGGTCCGTTCCGGACCGGACGCGTGGTGTCCGCTATTCCGTCGGCGAGGCGTCTCTCCGGGAAAGTCTGAAAAGGACAAGTGTCAAGTGTCACAACTCTAGGGGTACCTTCCATTCTTTCCAGGGATCCGGATGTTTCTAGAAAACCTCCAGACACCCGGGGAAAACGGCTCCGGTTTTCGAAAAAGAGCGATGTTTGAAAAGAATGGACAAGGAAACAACCCCTAGAACAACTGGCCTCATTATTTCATCATGATCAAAGTCACCCCCGTTCAGTGATGGGTGAAAGGGAAACAACGCCATTTTCTGACTTTGATAACCCTAGAAGCGGTCAAAATAATGACCCTAGAACAAAGGGTGCCAGCTACCCTGGTCGAGTGTGATGGCCATGGTTTAGCCCGGTTTAGCCCTTTAGCCGTTTGTGGGATTGGACCCGGTAAGGCTATTGCGATGTTCAAGTTCAAGTAGCATCTTCGGATTCTGCACCATTTTGTCAACGCATGCACCATATTTTCTGTGGAGACCCCAGATATTCCAAGAGTTTGCACACAGACTCCCGCACAGAACGCGCGCAAGACGAGTCGCCCGGCTCTGCGCTGCCTAACTCGCTCAATCCAGCAAGGTAGACCTCGATACCAAGGCTGGAGGGGGTCATGACCGGGTCTTGCAAACACCAAGGCCCGTTTGTTGGGCGGCACACGGCAGCGCCATATGTTTTGACAAACTCTAAAATAATGCATTTGGGCATGGTATCAATACTAGGCCCCCAATCCCAATGGGCGACTTCGTGTTGGTTGCTTGCCACAGGACACAAGCCAACTTGGTTTGGTGCGCAACCAGAACTCGTACCTGCGGACCTCCGGACCTCGAGCGGCCGAACAACAAGAGGCCATGTCTCGTTTTTGATACTTACCTTTCTCCAGGGAGATTGTCCAGCCGCTGCGTCTGGTGTTTGGGGGACTCCCAAAGGTTGCGGTTCTCCTGCTGGCTTCCCTTAAAGCCCACCAAGCAGGGGCAGCCTCAAAAAAAGAAACCGCCAGTCTGAATGTCTTTGTCAGTGGGGAAATGTGGTGTTTCAACTCCAGCGTTCCACAACGGGACCTGCGGGTCCCAGTGCAAAGTGCAAAATGGGATCCCCTCCTAATCTATCAGGACATCACTCTCCGGACAGATTAACTCCCTGGCCCAAAGAACCCAGACTTCAAAGCTTCACCGTTTCTGGCCATGACTCAACATCACTTCCTGAGTGGATTGGATCCAAACAGAAGCAACCAAGCCGCTAAAATGGCGACCAAACCCAAGTGCTTCAAGCCCTGAAACTCAGGGGAGTGAGCCAAAGGTCGATTCGCATGGCTTGCAAGTGCTCGCCCGCGCTCTCCAAGCGCCCCTACAACTCTTGGGCCTCGCTATGGTCCTGCGGAGAGGAGGGTCTCACGGGAGAAGGCTTCTCCCGCAGGCAGCCACGTGAGCCATGGGTCGAAAGCCAAATCGTACCCCCAGTGAACATCCCACTCCCCACTAATCCAGACTAAAATGGGTTGTGCTCCTACCCCAAAATGGTACCATTGGTGTTGACCCACAGGAACCCTGGGCTATCAACTACACAGCCCTTGTACCTACCCCAAGGGGATTCCAGAATTAGTAGGACCCATCGATGTATAAAACCAAACTGACCTACAAGGAACCAATGGAGACCCTTGATCGTGCAAGGAACAAGAAGAAAAACATGCCTAGATAGCCAAGTTGCTGTTTCTTGGGGTAAAGTAGATGGACAAAAACAGCAACTGGCGATCCAGGTGTATTTGTCCAATGTCCGCGATAGATAGCTCAGATTGCCAGGCTCCGACAGGCTCCTCGTCTTTCTGCTTCTTGTCCTTTTTCTTCTTCTTCTTGTACTTCTCTTCGGCCCCGGCATCCTCAGGCGCAATTTTTCGCGCTGCTGCTTCGACGGAACCTCCGCTGAAATTTGTGTTTTTTTTTGGTGGCCTCCACCCCCTTAACCAAATTTCCGCCAGGTGTTGCCTTGTTCTCACCCGGGGGCAAAAGGGGGGTGGGGTGCAAGCCAACACCCGGGTCAGGAGCTTGGGGAGTTTACCTCTTACGGAGTGCTCCAGTACCTCTTCTGTGAGCCTGGGGTTGCTTTCGCCGGGCTGCCATGTCACACCTCACTCGAAAAAATGGTCTGCACTTTTGTTTGAGGGTCCCATGTTTGGTGGCTATAACATGAAAGCAAAAACCAACAGTTTGGGGGGGGGGAGGGGGGGGTCCATAAAAAAAAAACAAAGACAAGCCACCCCCATCTCGGGTTGTTCGGAAACATGCTAATACTTGTATTAAATTACCCAATACCAAACCAATACCAAGCTCTAACCAATTACTAAAAAAAGCAATCCAGTTGCCCGGTGACCTGCTAGAAAAAGGGTTCAAGGGGCTTAGATGGTGACACTCAGCAACTGGGACAGAGGGGAGCCTGGCTCAAACATGCCGGCTGACCCAGGCCCAGGCTTCCCCCCTATCAAAACTTGATTCCAGGCGGCGTAGGGGTTGACCTCATCGTCATCGAAGGGGTCGCTGCTCTCCTTCTTCCTCTTCTTATGCCTGATCCGCCATGAACTTCTTTCCAAAGCAATGTGATTACAAATCCTGCTTGCGGTTTCCATTTGCGGTAAGGGGCCCGTGACTGGTTGATGCCAGTTTTGCAACTGACCCTTCCCAGGCGCCTTTGTTCTCCCTTGATTTTGAGGGAATCCCGCTTAAAAAGGGCAGAACAACTTGGTTGCTGCTGACCCCCCAGCAAAAAGCTTAGCTTTTTAGGGGGATTAGTAGAACACCCCTTGGTTTCCACCCAAAAGTTACAGTCTAAAGATCCGTTACGCAACAGCAGCCAACAAGGGGAGCCTACTTTGGGCCAGCGAGGCGGCATCTAGATCATAGTGGCAGTGGCACAAGTCCCGGTGGGTAGCCTCCCGTCCATTCACATGGCTATGGGTCAAAACCCAAATCGTACCCCCAGTGAACATCCCAATCCAAACACTAAAATCGACCTATTTTAGGTGGTGCACCTACCCCAAACTCGGATCCCGTTGGTGTTGACCCACGGCCACATGGAATCAAAGGCTCCCTTTAAAAGTTGTCTTCACCCCCTCATGTTGCTGGCCTGGAAGGAAACTCGATGCCAGTTCATACCCATCCCAAGCAAAGTCCGACCCGCAGTTCAGCGGAAATCCTGGGGGTTCCCAACAAAAATCCAGTTGTTGTTTGTGTTGTCCGGTTCTATCCAAAACCAGGCATATCAATTGGATGTCAGCCGTGTTGCGCTGTCAGCCCAGGGTCGGATATGCAAGGCGGGTGGCACCACAAGGGTGATCTGTGGATAGGTGCTGGCGGAATAGGAAGAAACAGTCTGCGAGTAGCTGTGTCCATGTCCCATGTGTGTTTTGCTTAGGGTTTAGGGTTTATTCCATCGTTTTGTCCGATTATATCCCATATATAGTACGCATGCTGCATGTAAGTGTGCGCTGCAAGACAACAAGCCATCTTGAGGCTACAAGTGGAAGGAACAAATGAAAAACTGGCTGTCGCGGCCTTGCTTTGTGGGGGTAGCTCAACTTAGTACCCATCTTCAAAACAATCTGAGTGTGGGTCATCTTCGCCCAAAATCCAACGACATTGACGTTTGTGGAACCAAGTGCTGTAGTAGGACAGCTTTGGGCGCTACTCATGCAAATTCCGATGAAGGTATTGCCAATGACGAATCAGACGCCTACGCCGGCGCCTGGGCCCTGTGCAAATCCCATGCGGGACGGCCTACGCGAGGTATGTCAGCCTTCAAACGCCTACGGGGTTGAAGGTTTGCTCTGAAAGTGCCTACGCGGTGTGCGTCTCGTGCCAAAATTTGTTCGTGCTCACCTACTGGCAACCTGTCACTACCCGGTGCCTACGCGAGAAGCCCCAAGCCGACTGTCAAAAAGTGGCTATGCGCGCCTACGTGCGTGCAGTAATATGCCTACGCGGGGCCTGATATGTCCACTCTCCTTTTGCCCT